ATTTATACTAATATTAATTGATTTAGTATATATATTTTTTTCTTGATATAATATCAAGAGAAAATATTTACTTATTATTGTTCATCATATGATACTTAATTATTATTTTATTATAAACTTTGTTTTCATATAATTTCATTATTTATTATAAAAGGTGTAGAAGCATTACGTCGTATTTTTCCTTTTATTTTATGTAATAAAAAATATTTAATGCACATTAGTATTATTTATTTATGTAATCAATTTAAATTATATATAAAAAAATTAAAATTAAATAGTGTATAAATATCTTACAAATATATTCACATGTTTTTTTAGAATTTGTTTTGTATACTAATTAAACAACTTTGATTTAGCAAATGCCAAAAACTCAATCCTTTCTATAATCAAGAGATTTTTCTAATTTACATCATATGACTTTATAGTTTATTTATCATACTATGCAATGAAATATATTTTACAAGAATTGCATTATAGAAAGAAATTAAAATAAAAAAAATGATAAAAAAAATAATAGAAGCGAAGTGAAGTGAAGTCATAGAGTTCTTTATAGTCGAGCATCTGAAAACCTTTCAGTCTAGCCTCAATTACACTTTTCCTCTCCTTTCAGTCGAGACTCACTTTGCTCTCCTCTCACCCAACTCTTTTCTTTTCGCTTAAGCTCCCTCAGTTTGGGGGATTAATTGATTGGATACCTTCAAGCCTCCGCTTTTCTGTCAGTTCTCGATACCACTTCCTTGACGGAATTCTTCGTCACTCGCCCATCTAGAATTGGGGAGCCTAGATACTTTCTTCTCTTCTAAATTCTGGAAAAAATCCTTTCTTTTTAGAGCTACTAAAGGGAAAAGAGCTCAAGCATAGTTGACAATAATATACAAATAAATTCTAAATAATAATTAATATATTTAAATTTTATTTTTAGACCATTACTAAAACTATTTAATGTATCTGGTCATTATCTGTTAAATGGTAAATTATATTAATCTACAGAATAATTTATTTTTTATATATAATGAAATAAAGCTTAAGAAAAAAAAATATACTAGCAAAGATTAATTCACCAACTTGATTTCGCCTGATTAGTTGGAAGAGAAAATTATACATAACATATTACGATTTTCTATAATTATTTTAAGATTAAAAGTTATATTTGTGAGAAAAATTTAATATTATGTTTAGAACTTAAAATATGTTTGTTTTATCTCGTCCAAAATATTGTCAACATGAATTAAGAAAATCAATCTTGTAGTTTATTATAATGGATTTCAATGAAATTATGGTAGATATTAATAAAACTAGTTTTACCCCGTGCATTTGCACGAAAAACGACAAAAGAGAAGAAAAAGTAATTAAAAAATATAGAATTAAAAAAAAAATCATAACTTAATAAATGAAAAAAAATTTAAAAAGTGAATCTAAATATTATTAAACAGTTCTTTATATACAACATTCGTGGTTTTCTATTGTCAGAATTTCCATCACAACAAATCATGATCGTTAAACCCCTTCGACTCGTGACTCTAAGATTTGATTTTTCAAAATATTTGATGTATCTTTGTAATATCCGAAAAAATATTTTTTTATTATTGTATTACTATAATAGAAAATAGAGATATTTGTAGTCATTAATTGTGAAATATGTATTTATGTAAATTGTGAAATACGTATTTATATAATACCAAAAATATATAGTATGAAAATAAAAACAAAAATATAATGTCTTTTGTATTTCAGGACATAAAAAGGCATTATAGAAATGGATATATTTCAAAATGGGACTTGTCAAAATAAATTGTGTAACTGAAAGTTACATATTCTTATTAAATGGTGAACATATTTTTATTAAATGAACACCTATTTTGATTAATTGAACTCATATTATTATTAATTGCTGGATGAATAAAATTTATTGAAGCTTGCCAGCAATTATATATATATATATAGATTATTTAAGGAAATAATATTTTTTATCATATTTTATTTGATCTTATTTAAAACGTGTATATGGAAATAATTAATGCATATATTTAAAAAGTTTCCAAAAAAAAATATGCATTTAATACTCTAATGCTAAGTTTGGATTGAAGGATTTACTGAGTGATTTGAAATCCATAGATTTCAAATTTACAAGTTCACATCCCCATGCATGTTGGGATGGTAATGGAAGTTGGAGGATTTCCAATTCATTCTAGATGTTTTTTAGTCATTATTTTGAAGGATTTTAAATGACCCCTCAAATCTAGTCATTTGAAATCCACTGTTTATCATCGTTGACGACCACGCCGTCCGCGATCATTTAGGTTCATCACCACCGTGAGTCAACACCATCGGTGCGAGCTTGACAATTAGTTTATAATATATTCAACACACCATTCAAGGAGTGTGCGAGTAAAAAAAATTATATTTAAAAATTTTGATATCAAGGGATTTCAAATCCCTCAAAACAAAAGGAACCTAAAAAATTTTGGCTACTATTTTTAGTAAATTGTTATTCTCTTTATAGAATACTAGTGTGTACCCCGTGCGATGCACGGGAACAATATGAAATTAACAATATTATAAATAGACCTCGAGTTTGAGTCACTCAACGACGGAATTGGAAACTACTATTGATCCTATTTAAAAATAGAAAGAAAAAAAAATATTTATAAATTAAAGATACTTAATAATTATAAATTAAAGATTTGGGGTCAAACATTGTAAAATTATTTCGTATAAGAGAATATAAAAAAATTTGATTACACACCATTTCAAAATTATTATTATACTTTTTTGTATAGTTAGCTTATAATATTTGTAAAAATATTAGTAATTAGACCGATGAAAATTAGCTTTTTAAAGTAGATAATGGATTTCTAGTAGTAATTATAAATTGGTTTCTATTTTATTTTATTTTTTCTTTTTAAAGATAATGGATTTCTAGTAGTAATTATGAATTGGTTTCTATTTTATTTTATTTTTTCAAATCTGTATAGATAAGGGATGAGATTTTTTAAACACGTGAGACGTGTGCTAAAAATATTTATAACAGAAGAGATAAGCTCGTGTAGATTTATACTAAAAATAGAAAAAAGAAAAATAAATATTTATTGTCAAACAACGGTTTTGATAAACTAAAAAACAGGAAAAAGAGAAACAAATTTTAAACAATTAATGGGCTGATTTTTTTGCCTATTCAGATTTGTCCAACAATTATTATATGTAGGATATATTTAATGATTTTGGCGGGAAAAAGTTTCTAAATTTGTAAAAAGGTTATTTTTTTTTATATAATGATAGATGTGGGCACAATTTTGAATGTACATCCCGTCCAAATATCAGTTTTATTTTAAAATAAAATTGCACGCAGTTTTAACCAATTTACACACTTTTTTTGGAAAAAAAAAATTATTAATTAAAATTGGAAGAATTGGTTAGAATTTATACAACTATTTGTTTCGTAAATTTGTATCCAATTTGCACGGTTTTTAAATTGATTTGTCTTTAAAATTGTTTTCATAAATAATTGACATATTTTTTGCATAAAAATCTCTAAATTTGTTATCAAAAAAGATATGATTTAAATTTTGGTAAAAAGATAAGATATGATACGAAAAAAATGGGATTCAAATTTTGCCATAAGAATCTCCAAATTTGTTACCGAAAAAATAGGATTCAGATTTTGTTTCTAAAGATTTACATGTGTTTTTTCAAACTTTCCATTAATAGTAAGTCAAACATTATATTTATTTGATCAAACTTTCTATTAATGTATTTTTCCAACAACCTCTTTATATATATATAGATAAATATATATAGATATAGATATTGATATATATATATATATATATATATTAATAATATATAATGATAGTAAAATTGAGTCCAAGTTAATTTAGATTTTGAGAACGGATTGAGTTATTTTATATACTAACTAGAGTTGTAAATGAGTCGAGCCGAGCTCGATGCATTAAATAAACAAGCCAAAAATCGAGCACGAGCTCGGCTCGTTAAGGCCTTGATGGAGATAAGGATGTTTAGAATTTTCAATCTAATTATTTGTTTCTCTCTTTATTAATAATAATAATAATAATAATAATAATATTATTATTATTATTATTATTATTATTATTATTATTATTATTAGTAGTAGTAGTAGTAGTAAGATTCTTGTCTTGTTGGACAAGTTAGTATTGTTAGGATTCTTGTCTTGTTGGACAAGTTAGTATTGTTAGGATTATTGTCTTGTTGGACAAGTTAGTATTAGGGTTTTAGGAGTCTTATTTAAAGGACTCCTCCTCTTTAGTGTTATTCAGTTGATTTTTTAAACGAAATAAGATATTGGCGAGTTTTGTGAGTTTTCGAGAGAGTATCTCGTTGCCCACTCGTACGCTTTCCCTACATCAGGCCTCGAGCTCGAGCCTTGACGAGATGAGCTCGAGTTTTAACGAGCTGAACTATGAAAAATTATACAAAAATTCTATTTTCGAGCCTTAACCAACCTTATCAAGCCGAGTCGAACTCAACTCGTTAATCAATCGAGCTTTAAATGAGCTCGAGCTCGACTCGTTAAGGCCTAGAACTTGAGCCAATCTCGAGCCGAGCCGAACCAAACTCATTTAATTTAACAGCACTAATACTAACACACTCTAAACTAAACGTCCTTTTCTTTTAATAAATTCCACAACGAATTTAAACAATTTAAAAAGAATCACCAACAAACAGCACCATCTGCACTTGCCAGAAATCACGGCGGTCAATCAGCGAGCCATCATCATTAGCCACCGCTTTCCGGCTGCGGAGCACCGCGGGTAAAAGACATTAACATACCTTAGAGGTCTTCGAAATAATTCGAATGGTTGAAAAAGGTGACAAAAGGTTGCCCACTTTTCACATGTCAACAAGTTGAGACTCTACAGCACTCAAAACCACTTACGAACAAAT